AGCAAATTTGTTAATTTATGTCATAATAAACATATTGATAATAACATATTTAAATTACAAGTTTATTGCCACATCTGGTGCGTCCTGAGGAGCTTGTCGAAAATACTCTACTATTTACTCTCTTCGAATAGAGTCGGACACATCATTTATGAAAAAACTAAATATTCAAGATTGTTTTGCAAAATTAGCAAATTTGGAAATTTTGTCTCAAAATAGATATATTAAGGATTAATATAATTAAAGTACAAGTTTGTGATGCATCCAGTGCGTCCTGAAGAGCTCAATAAAAACGCACTGCTTTTTATACTCCTTAAAAAATAATTTACTATCTATAGTTTTCTTGTAATTTTTTTTATATTGCAAATTTCAAATTGCAATATTAAACTGTATTATTAAATACATTAAACATCACATTTCTAACACAATTATTCTTTAGTTAGTTATTTTATATTGTCCTTGTGTTTATATATTAAATTGCCTAAGAAAACGAAAACAACCCAAATTAACAAAAATTTCAATTATCAATGCTCAAAATGGAAAATTTAAATACATACATGTATATATAATTTCATGGTCATAAAATTAAATCACATGTTTATAAATCTTGTTCTCAACAAAACTGTTTACAATATCCATAATAAATTTATGCAATGAGATCACTTTATGAACAAATGCTTTTGCTTATGACACACCCAGAGAAAAATGAAGGCTGGAACTAAATTAATTATTGGATTGACATAAATATTTTAAAATAGTAAAATGATTATTAATGCTAATGGAGTGTGTAACTATAACTAATTAATCGTTTAAGATAAAAATAAAAATACACATGTTATTTTCAAGTCAAAGAAAAATTGAGGTTGTAACTATTACCAATTATTTGTTTAAAGATTTCCTTTATGTGGTATTACATTACATGGCTGTTTTATGATTTTATTATCATAAATTGTATATTATTTTACATTCAACTTCTGAGAATAATTTAAACTGATGTTCAACCAGGATGTTCTATTTTTAAAGGACGTCGTGTGGATATAGAAGGCAACTCTGATGCTAAATGAATAAACTGGAGAATTCAAAAATAGAATTGGAGGCACTAAACTAAACCGAATTATATTAAAGGAACATGACAAGGAAACATAATATATATACATATAGAAATAAAACTTTTTTGTCTAAGCTTTTTTTAATCCGACAAATTAAAATGACTCTACGACGGATGTAGATGATGCTAAACTAACAAACAAATAAACATTAAAATAATTAGTTATTGTTGTTCTTTTATGAGCCATGTTAGAATAACAATGAGAGAGGAAAATAGTCCGTAATGGATGAACTGAATTCATTGTTTTCCAGGAACTCTGATAATTCTTGGAAAAATGGTAAAAAATACTACTTTTTTTTTTTTTAAATAATCAGTAGTCAAAATTTTAAAACATTTGTTGTATTAATATTAAGACCTTATAACTTTTATAATTGATAATTAATAGAAGTAGAAAATATATATATATCACATAATTGTAAATGAATCTATCTTATCTAACTGAAAAGGGTGCTTTCCCCTGATACTTGTGAGTTATTTGACAAAAACCAAAAAAATGTCCCGAATTTTTAATTAAATGCTAAAGAAAATGAAAGATCGAATTCAAAGTCGTTTTATTCCAAACTTTTATATCGGGAAGTATATAACTGTTAAACTAGCAACAAATTTAAAATTAACTAGCTGTAAGTGGAATTCTGTCTTAAGGCAATTAGGGCATCGTGCCTTCAGGCAAATTGCTGGAACTTCCCGTACCAAAAATTATTATTTTTTTAAAAACGATTAACATTTTTGAAAAAAAATTACTTCGAAAAAATAAGATTTTTGAGAAACTATAAATTTGACAAAAAATTACTTTTTTTTGAAAAAAAAAATTGAAAAAAAACATTTAAAAAAAAAAAAAATTTAATTTTTTTTTTTTTTGAAAAAAAATGTTTTCTTTATTTTGACATATGTTGGAAGATCTGAACTTTTTTTCAAAGCAATCGTACTGCTTTAACTGCATAGAGACAAAATATAAAGCGCGTAAGCGCCGTGTCGCTGTCTAACGCATAAGCATTGGTACGGAACCCATAGGAATGTTAACAAAATGTATACTTATTGTTAAAATCTCTATAAAATATCTGATAATTTTATGTGCATATGTCTAATGATCATTTTTGACCGCCAAATGGCATTTTTTTTTTACTTTTTTCGTTAGATCTCCGAAACCGCTAGACCTGCCCTTATGAAAATTTGATCAAATCTTCATCTTGTCAATACAAGTAAAATGTTTTTTGAATTATTAATTCAAAAGTACTCAAGTAAAGTATTCAAGTTTTGAGGTACCGTTTTTGGCACTTTTTGCCCCATATCTTCGGAACGGCTAGGCCTACCTCCGCCAAAAACTAATCAGCACGTCTCCTTATCAATACGGATCGAATGTTTTTTAAATTATTCAAATTGCTTCAAATTGTTCCCGAAATCGTCGACGAAAATTTGTATCCGCACACACATACATACAAACACATACACACATACACACACACATACATCCATTTTTTCTAAGGTATGCCAAAATATTCAGAAACCTCTGAAACGTGAAGATATATAAAAATTTTCATTTTCGATTTTTTTGCGATTACTATAACTTACCCTACGGGAAGTTAATAACTCGCTTGTCAAACCTTACTTAATGCATTGTAATCGTTGACATTTTCATAGTTTTTTTGCAAATATTTCAAAAACTTATTCAAACACTTAATAAATGTGTTACATTTCTGAAAAGAATGATCTTAATGAACTTTGTAAAATAATATAGATGTACAAAAAGTGATCTAATTACAAAAAAATATTGAAAGTTTTCAATTGTATGTATCAATCGCATATGGCATTCTCATCAACAAGTTAAATTTAATACAAATTATCCCTTATCTCGCCAACTCTTCAATCATATGTAGAAAAATAAAAAAAACAGGCAAGAAAAAACAAAAATCGTGTTATTGTATCGCCCAGAAGTGCTCGCGATCGTGAAACATCTCATCCTCATCTCACCTTCAGTTCAACCCTCTTTTAGAGGGTAAGAGTGAGGAAAAATAAGGCACCACCACGAGAAAAGTAGAAGAATTTTCTTTCCTTCTGCTAAGAGAAAATGGGCATGTCTTATGTGTATGTTGAAGAAAACGTGAGAAATAAAACGAAAATGTCATCTGTCAATCGATTCGAGAATCGTAGGAGAATTGTGACGACTGTGACTGTGACACGATAGTAGCCGGTAGGAGGAAAAGATGCATGGGGGATGAATGAATTTATGTGGAATGGATTGTCATATACTATATATATAATATATATATATATATATATATATATACTAGCATACCACCCGCCACGCGTTGCCGCGGCCCTTATTAAAACCCACCTGATTAAAATTTGAATCCGTTTGATAACCAACTTTTCAAAACTTTTGTTATAAAAAATTATATCAATCCGAATTGAAATTTGAATCTGTAGGTTCAATTTTATTGATTAAAATTTTTTTTAACTTACTTGAAAATTAAAACAAATAAAATTATTAAAGATCTGAATAAAAGACCACATTACAAAATTCATAATAAATAACCAATTGACTTTTATAAATGCTTTATATCCTATTTAGTACTACGTCCGATTTTCCTTGCTAATATTTTAATATGTTCTATGATGCTGTATTTAGGAATGGTTTCATTAGTCACAAACTACTGAGAACTTGTTATAAGTCCTAAAATTTTTTTTAAAAATTTTCCAGAAATATATGATTTTGACTTTGTTAACTTTCCGAAGGAGAAGTTTATGCTTTCATAAAAAAATCCGATTCGCTAATTTTATGTTTTTTCGGCGTTTCAAGCCATTCTGAATCGAATGAGACCATTTGGAAAAAGTATGTGTGTGTGTGTGTGTGTGTGTGAACAGATTTTTTGCCGTAAATCGACGTTTTCTCGAAAACGACTGGACCGATTTCAAAAATTTAAAAGCCATTCGAAGTATCTCGATGAGGACTATTATTAGTCAGTTTTGTGCGACGATCGACCAAGCCGTTTCTTTATAAATCGCAGAAAAGTGAAAATTTTTTTGTCTACGTTTTAGCTCGCAATTCTGATTCGATTATGAAAATTCAAAAACCGTTCGAAAGATATTGAGTGGGAATCGTGCTGATTAGTTTTTGGTAGAGATCGGCCGGGCCGTTTTCTTGTAATAAAGTTAAAAAAAAAATCGACGATTTTTATGATTATTTTTTTGACGGTAGATACCGTAGTCTTCTAGATCATACTAAAATCGTTTATTTTTAAAAATTTATCAAAGTTTGCAAAAATTAGTATCGTTTTTTTGGCGTTTGTCAAATTTGAAACTTTCATCGACATTTGCTTAAACGCGTTGAACCGATTTCAAAAATTTAAGAGTCAATCGATGTATTTTGATATGGATTATCTATTCTCAGTTTTGTGCAACGATCGGCTGAACCGTTTCTTAGTAATTAAGAAAAAAGAGAAAAATTTTCATCTACGTTTTAGCCAAAAATTCTGACTCGATTTTAAAAATTCAAAAGATATTCGAAAAATATTCAGGAGTCGTCCTGATAAGTTATGGACAAAGATTGGTCGAGCCGTTTCTTCCTGCTTAACTGTTGAAATTTTTTTTTCGATGAAACTTTTTTTTGATGATAGATATTATGATCCTAAAAAACATACTAAAATAAAAATTCATAAAAGTTTCAAAAACTATGAATAAAACAAAATATGTCAAAAGTCGCTTTTGTGATGTGATGAGTCACAATTTGAATATCACAAATTCAAAAGCCATTTTTTGGAATCAGCGAAAAAACAAGTCCACAAAACTCTTCTAGTTGTTTAAAAAATGTTGTCATTAATTTAAAGCATTGAATATTATCAGGGGCTATATACATGGCATGTGTAATTGTGCAATTGAAAATTTTATATAAATATATGAATCTCAATTTCGTTTGATCAAGTCAATTATTACACATTTCCTAAAGTTCATGCAACTTGTTTTAGGACAAAATGCTATGCACCACTAGTTCATATTTTGCATCAGCTTTTTATCGATGTGAAATGCTTTGATATTTTTTTCGGTGTGAACTTTTTATTTGTCTTTTTATATTTTCGCATTAGGCTCTGTTGTATAGTGATACACATACACACTGGCACACTTTTGTAGCCGCGTTTTTCATCTTTTCTTCTGGATCAAACTTTAGATATAACATAATATATTATATATATATATATATATATATATATATATATATATACAATATAGAGATGTACCTATAGCTAGGTGGGAGGTACCCATGTACGTGCTGTTATTACGAGAACGTGTTTACATGAGAGCAAAACGCGGTAACTCTGTTGAGTGGAGCATTTCACATTTCACATTTCGCATTTCGCGTTTTCGAGCATAATTCTACGATACTTTTCCTTCAAAAAATAAAAGAGAAACAAGCAAAATATAACAGATACACATACCGCATTTTAAAGATAATGGATCGATATTTTAACCTATGACATTTCGAAATCAAAAAATATTTCGAAGTCTATTTTCTATTACTGTGTATTATTTTTACTATTTTCGTATGTAAAGTTTTGCACTTAAATCTATTTTATTTTCCATTCATGACTCTTTTCCGATCGTTCCGCTCTTATTTATTTATAGCGTACCCTACAGTCCTTAAAATCTAAAACATCCCTCGGGAATCTGAATAAAATTCGATTCGCTTGTTAAACCCCAACTATATTATATATAAAATAAAATAGGGTTTGTAGTAGAAGATATACCATTAACGATGGCATTGTGAAGAATCCTTTTCCAGTGAAGGGTGTACACTGTACCACATCATAGGGCGGATTGTTTTACCCTTTAGGAATAATTTTATTTAGAAATTTGTATTATAGATATCTATTAAATTTCAAATAATTTTGAAGGATATTAGTTCCTCTTGTGTGGCTGATATTCGCAAACTCTGGTGTTTTACATCATTCATACACGTCGAGTGTTGGGTTTAATAATGTTCTCGTTTCATTCTGAATATGAGCTTCATACAATTGTAGAAATGTCGTCAAAATTTCAGTTTAATCGCTAAAAGCAGACATTTCCGTGCGCCATCAGTATTCGCTTACAACGCGGAAATACGAACTCAGATCTCAAAATATGAATATGTATATATATATATATATATATATATATATGTATATAATAAATATATAATAGTGTAGGGCGGGGCACAAAAGTCCAATTTATATACTATATAATCGCATAAAATTGCAAGGATATTGAAATTTACAACTCTATGGTGAAACCAAACTGATAATTGTGGACACTTCTTTTAGTTTTTTGCGAATATCTTGAAAGTTTGTTTTGAACACTTGTTAAATATAATTTATTTCTCTAATATATATAAAATTCTCCATAAAACTGCATCAAAAAAATATACAACATTATAGTAAAATTTTTCATAAATTAGTAAAAACTCGATGGTCAAACCAAAATTAATCGGCTTGATAATCGTGGACACTTTGATAGTTTTTTGCAAACATAAATAATAATAAGAACTAGTGGGGTGTATGGCATCGTGCCTTAAGGCAAATTGCTGGAACTTCCCGTACCGTAACGAAATGTTCGAGGAGTACTGAATGTTTTCAAATAGATTATTATAAATATTGTAACATTGTCTAATATTTCTAAGAATTATATAAACTGAATTGCAAAGTTAAAATTATTTGTTAAAGTTATATTAGACTTTAGTCAGAATTAAATAAAATCTGAATTATTTTCGATATACAAAAAAAAAATTTAAAAAAAAAAAAAATTGGAACAAAAATTTTTTTTTCCTATATCAATTATTTTGTTAAGACAAGCAGAAACTTCTTTGAATCATTCAAATCGGACGCTTAGTTCTCTCAAAAACTGCCATTTTTTACATATTTAGCTCCGTATCTTCAAAATGGCTGGGCCTGCCTTTGCAAAAAACTAATAAACACTTCTCACAATCATTACTAATTGAATGTTTTTTAGATCATTCAAATCGGATACGCCGTTCTCTCAAAAAGTCGATTTCTATTTTCTGCACTTTTTGCTCCGTATCTCCGAAACGGCTGGACCTGCCTTTTCCAAAAACTAATCAGCTCTTTTCCCTATCAATAGGAATCGAATGTTTTTTGAATCATTCAAATCGGTTGATCCGTGTGCCCGAAAACGTGACTGGAAATTTGTATCCATACATACACACACACACACATCCATTTTTTCTGAGGTATGCCAAAACGTTCAGAAACCTTCAAAACGTCGAGAAATGTAAAAATTTTCAATTTCGATTTTTGGCCCATTACAATAACTTACCCTACGGGAAGTTAATAATATAGACTTAAAAATATTGAGATCTCGTAAACTAAACAACAGTGCTCAAAACCTCAAAAATTTGTTCAAACTATTATTAAATATATTACATATCTAAAAATTACTAAATCTTCTTCACAAATCTGCGTCAAAAAAAATATATGCTCACGACTAAAAAAACTAATATAGAAAGAAAATACTTTTGTTATGGATTTTCAAATGATGCCGTTTTGATCCCGAAGAACCGCCGTAAGAATCTAGATAATGACTGACCTTTTTCGGTGGTGGACCTTTACTCTACGCTAGTATTATAGTTATAATATGACTTCTTTCTACTAATTTTTTCTTATTTTTTTCCAGGATTCTGAGCATGAGCTAGCGTTTTCTCCATGCAATGCCGGCGCATTCAACCGGCTCAAGCAGCCGGAGCACATGGCTGCTACAAATCTCCTTACTCCTAGCCTCAATAATAACAACGACATTAGGAATAAGTCGACCACCTCAAGAAGCCATACGCTTTTCCCATCCAATATATAATGTCAGTGTTCCGGAAAACAGTCCCGGAAAAACCTTCCTCATTCAGCCGGCGAACGAAGACAGAGCCGGATTGCGTCTGTCCGGCATCTGGCAACAGGCCGATGTCAAGTATAAGATATCAGCAGGGGACAAGGATAAGTTTTTTAAGGCTGAAGAGAGAACTGTTGGTGATTTTAGTTTTTTAATTTTAAGGACACGTACTGGTAACACGGCTGTGCTGAATCGTGAACGCAAGGATAGGTATTTACTAGAAATCCATGCCACGGTTATTTTGAGACAAAATGGTAAGAGTAAAATTGTCAGCGAAGCTGATACCAATGTATCAGTCACAATTTTAGACACAAATGATTTAAACCCTTTGTTTTACCCGAACGATCAGTATTCAGTGACAATAAACGAGGACACGCCTATACACTCAGATATTTTACGCGTCGATGCCGAAGATGCTGATCTCGGAATCAACGGTGAAATTTACTACTCGTTTGTGGAACAAACTGACCAATTTGCTGTACACGCCACATCAGGAGTAGTAACTTTAACCAGGCCTTTATCCTTCACCGAAAAATCCCTGCACGAGCTTCAAATTTTAGCGACTGATCGTGGAGGTGCCAAAAACAAAGGCACGGGTCACAGTAGTAAGGCTAAAGTACGCATCAAAGTCCGCCAAGTCAATTTATTTGCACCAGATATTTATGTACACCCTTTGCCAGACATTCTAGAAAACTCCGACTTTTTGGTGTACGCAATCGTGCGTGTAGTTGACAAAGATTCTGGTGTCCACGGTCAAGTCAAAAGTTTGGATATCGTCGACGGTGACCCGGATGGCCACTTTAGAGTCCGAAGAACCGATACACCTGGTGAATTCAACATCGAAGTGCACAAGAAATTAGATAGAGAAGCCACTCCACAAGGTTATAATTTAACTTTACGAGCTGTTGATCGTGGTACGCCCACTCGAGAAAGTTACAAAGCTGTTCCTGTGCACTTGTTGGACGCAAACGATAACGCACCTGTATTTGCAAGAGAGTTGTACGAAATATCTGTACCTGAAACATCACCCATAAACTCTCCAGTTATACGTCTAAAAGTCACTGACAAAGACGAAGGCAAAAACGCGCAAGTTTTCCTGGAAATTGTCGGCGGAAACGAAGGCGGCGAGTTCTGGATCAACCCTAACTCCGGCATGTTGTATACAAGTGTTATGCTTGATGCTGAGTCCAAAGCGTTTTATACATTAACAGTATCTGCTATTGACCAAGGTAATACTGGAACACGTAAACAATCTTCAGCTAAAGTCAAAATTAACGTCCAAGACGCCAACGATAACGATCCTGAGTTTGACCAAACAGAAATCACAGTCTTTGCTGATGAAAACGAACCTGGTGGCACTTTTATTACCAAAGTTACCGCCAAAGATCGTGACAGTGGTGAAAACGCTTACATATCCTACAGTATAGCAAATATCGAAGACGTACCTTTCGAGATAGAACATTTTAGTGGTGCAGTACGTACAACAAGATTACTGGATTACGAATCCATGAGACGTGAATACGCGCTTTTGATTCGTGCATCGGATTGGGGTTTGCCTTACAGACGCCAAACTGAATTACGACTAAATATCAAGTTGCGAGATGTAAATGATAATAGACCGCAATTTGAACGCGTTGATTGCGAAGTAAGATTATCAAGATTTGCACCCATTGGCACAGAAGTGATAACTTTGTCTGCAATTGACTTGGACGCTGGTAATATAATTTATTATCGTGTGGTTTCAGGAAGCGAGGACGACTGTTTTGCCTTGGACACGTCATCAGGAGTTTTGACTGTTGATTGTGATTTGAGTGATGTACGGTCTGATGAGCGTTTTGTTAACGCTACAGCAACTGATGGTAAACATTTTTCTGATGTAGTCACTGTGCATATAAAATTAACCAACACTTTGGACAAATCAGGTGTATCTAATTGTCGTGAAACTGGTGTAGCAAGACGATTGACTGAAGCTTTGGCTTCTGCTGAAAGAAATAACTTACCTCTGCCTTCGCCCGAGCCTAGACACGCTAGGCACAGGGATAACCTACACGCCCCTGAGTTTATAGATTTCCCTAACGAAGTACGTGTGAACGAATCAGCACCTTTAGGCACAGTTTTACTAACTTTACGTGCAAGAGACCGCGATATGTCCTACAACGGTCGTGTGATTTTCGGTATCTCCGGTGGTGATAGTGATTCAGTGTTTCGTTTAGATCCAGAAACTGGTGAACTGCAAATTATAGGTTATTTAGACCGCGAACACGAGTACGAGTACTATCTAAATGTAACCGCGTACGATTTGGGTAAACCACAAAAATCGCAATCACGTATAATTCCTGTAACAGTTCTTGATGTCAACGACAATGCTCCTAAATTCGAGAAGGCATTCGCCAGTTTTCGGGTTACTGAAAACGCGTTGAATGGCACTGTGATTTTTCGGCCAAATGCCACCGATGCAGATTATGGTGCCAATGCCAAAGTTCGTTACTCGTTGGTAACTGATACCAAAGACTTTGCGGTAAATCCTGATAACGGATTTTTGTACGTCAGTAACTTCTTGGATAGGGAAAGTCAGGAGTTGTATGAACTGCGTTTAAGGGCTACAGATGGTGGTGGTTTGTATGCTGATGCCTTGGTAAGAGTCACTATAGACGATGTAAATGATAATGCTCCTAAATTTGCTTTGGAAACTGTGACTGTCCGTATACGCGAAGACGTACCCTTAGGCTCTCTTGTAGCCATGGTCGACGCTTTTGACCCTGACCTAGGCGCCGGTGGCATTATAAAATACTCTTTACTCCCCGACGAAGCCGAAGGCGAACCTTGTTTCCGAGTTGACAAAAAATCAGGAGCCATCAGAGTCTCCAAACCCTTAGACTTCGAAGAACGCCAACTTCATACCTTGACCATCGAAGCCAGAGACTCCGGTTCGCCAGCTTTGACCTCCAAAGCTGTTTTGATAGTGGAAATTGTGGACGTCGATGAAAATAGTTTTGCGCCAGTGTTTTCTGATTTTGTGTTGAGTGGTTCAGTGAGTGAAAATTTACCAGCCGGTTCTAAAGTGATGAGAGCCTTGGCCACGGACGACGACCCGCCGGGGCCCTGTTCTAGGATTACTTACACCATCACAGGAGGCACAGGATTGGGATACTTTGCAATCGATGATAAAGGTAAGATATTTGTACTAATTCTTTTGTAGGCTATATGCAAGAAGGTTCTTTACCATTATCTCGAAAAATTGGCAGACAATGGTTTGACTAGACCTTGATAATACTGTATATTTCTTTAGTTTTTTGCAAATATCTCGAGTGTTTGTTTAAACACTTACTGAATTTTTTACATTTCTGAAAATTACATAAAATTCTCCAAAAATCAGCATAAAAAATTTATACAACACTATAGTAAAATTTTGCATAAAACTGCAACGAATTTACAATTAAAAACTCGATGGTCAAACCAAACTTAATAGGGATAACATTTGTGGACATTTTTGTAGTTTTTTTTGCGAATATTTCGAAGATTTGTTTTAACACTTATTAAATATTTTACATTTCTAGAAATTATATAAAATTTTCTATTGAAATCAAAAAATATATACAATATTATAGTAAAATTTTGCATAAAATTGCAACAAATTTACAATTAATAGTTTGATGATCAAACCAAACTTAATTAAATGGGACCCTTTTACAGTTTTTTTGCAAATATCTCGAAAATTACATTCAGAGCTTATTAAACATTTTACATTGCTAAAAATTATATAAAATTCTCTAAAGAACTGCATCAAAAAATATATACAACATTATAGTAAAACTTCGCATAAAATTGCAACAAATTTATAATTAATAGCTCGACGATTAAACGAATCTTATTGTTAGTAAATATGGATCCTTTTATAGATTTTTGCAAAAATCTCGAAAATTTGTTTGCATTCTTATAGAACATTATATATTTCTGAAAACCAAATGAAATTTTCTATAAAAATTGAATAAAAAATTATACATTATAGATAAAGTTAGCGTAAAATTAATTAAATAATTATTAGTAACGAAATTCAGTTGCCTTGCGATCCGGGTTACTTTCTGGTCACGCCTAAGAAGTTTTTATTTACTTAAATATATTTTTTACATAATTATTTATTAAAAATTATTTATTTCCTTAAATAGATTTCTGATTTCTTAATTCCCATCTTGTCAATCAGATATTATTTAATCTCAGTCCTTGAATATTCATTATTCCGACACAGAAGTCGTAAAGTTCGTCACCGAATTTTATTGTGTAAAAAAATTATTCCCTTTCACGGAAAAAATACAACTCGAGAAGCTCTTTACAATAATCCATCATGAATATTCAAATAATCATTTGGATGTCGCCGTGAAATATACAAATGACTTTTGATAGCAATGTGTGACGATGTCGGAAAAAAATCAAATTGAAGTGAATAATTTATCACGATGTGATGAAATAGGGTACGACGGGGTAAAAAGACATTTGACTTTTGGTAATTATACTGTGAAAACTAAACCGATTGCAATACAACAAATAACACATATCAAGCCAACAACTATCGTGTTAGGAATTTTAAATTCATTGCAATATTATGCAAAAAAAATTTTACTATGTTGTATATTTATTTTAATGCAGTTGTATAGAGAATTGTATGTATATTTCAAAAATGTAGAACAATAATTAAGTATGTGAACAAATTTCCAAGATATTCGCAAAAAACTGGTGTCCAGGATTATGAGGCCTATAAGGTTCGCTTTAACCAATTGTAAATTCGTTGCAATTTCATGCAAAATTTTACTATATTGATGTATATATTTTTTGAGGCAGTTTCATACATGTAAAACATTTATTAAGTGCTAAACGAAATTTTCGAGATATTTGCAAAAAACTTTAAAAGTGTCCTTGATGATACATATTATCTTTGGTTTGCCAAAGCGAGTTATTAATTGTAAATTCTTTGCAATTTTATGCAAAATTTTACTATAACGTGGTATATATTTTTTATGCAGATGTACAGAGAATTTTATATATTTTTAAAAATGTAATATATATTTTAATATGTGTTCAAACAAATTTTCTTGATATTTGCAATATACTATACTATACACTAAGTGTCCACGATCCAAATTTGGTTTGACCATAAAATTATTAATTGTAAATTCGTTGCAATTTTATGCAAAATTTTACTATAATGCTGTAATTTTTTCATGATACAGTTTTGTGGATAATTTTATATCATTTTAAGAAATGTTAAGGAATCTATATGTGTAAATTCTAGTCTAAAATTCAAAAATCTATTTATTGAAAGTTGAAAAATATATAAATACCTATAATAAAGATCCATGCAAATATTAGCAATAGGATCTATAAAGATCTGTTTTGAGTAGTACATAATAGATTTAATTAACAAACTTTCCAGTAATGAATTTTCAAAGTTTGCTATTTTCTTGGTAAATAGAAGAGACGTTTAATAAAACTACTTTGTATGAAAGTTTAATTTTTGATAAAATAGAAGTAAATGAAAAATATATTTTTAGCTGTAGTTCATTGTATTAAAATTATAAATCTATATTTATAATATAATTTATAATTTCTAGTCCTCAGCTATTTTATTAGTTTAACTATAAGAGCGTTATTTTCCACATGATTTGTTCACATTTTAAAAGTGCTATGAAATTTTTCGCATATTTTTATGGCTAGCACACAATAATAAGGCGATTACTCACTCAAATAGAGAAAAATAGAGAAAAGTTGAAGAATAAAATAAAAGCTGATGTTTATAGTATTTTTATAGCCACTTTGAAATTTATGAGAGGCTGTAAAATATTTTTACGCGCTCGTAGAACAATAGACAAAAAGATTTGGCAAAAATTGCTAAGAAAATTGATGGGAAATTAATGCCAGGGATAAAGGATTATTTGTACGCCTCTATCTAAACCTATATAAAAATTCTACAAATGTTATACTTTTTGTATTTAATTTTTAAATTTTTCAATTAATATCTTCCATCTATCTTACTACCAATTAGTGTTAATTCTGACATGCAATAAATGAATTGAAATTTATTGCAGCTTTCCAACATACATGATTAAAAATCAATTAAAAAGAAGTCTTTTAGAAAGGAAAGCGTGACTATAATTAATTATCAGTAATTTGATGGTTTTAGAAATTGATTGGAAGCGATTTTACAAATCGCACAATCGATCGAATCGAATGAATCGATTGAATATTGATGGTGAGATGTGAAATTCATATGGGAATATATGAGTAATTTTTAAATTTAAAATTTACTTCTGAGAAGACGATATAAAAATGCATCAAATATATATATATATATATATATATATATATATATATATATATATATATATATATATATATAGTAACATTTTCCTTAAAATTGGAATGAATTTGAAATTAATAACTCGCCGGTCAAACCTAACTTACTAATAATCATAATCGTGGACACTTTTTTGCAAATATTTCGAAAATTTGTTTGAATACATATTGAATATTTTACATTTTTAAAAAATAGATAAAATTTTCTATAAAATTGCATGATAAAATATATACGTCATTATAGTAAAATTTTGCATAAAATTGTAACGAATTTACAATTAATAACTCGATGGTCAAACAAAATTTGTGGGTTATGAGAGATTTCTCCAATTTTTATTATATATATATATATATATATATATATATATATATATATTACATATGAATGTGGATAAAAGCAGAATATCAATATTGATTCAATCTAGAAACAATAACATTAGTTTTCCGCAGAGAAAACACAGATTTTCAACAATGGAGAACTCGATGCGAAAAATTTCCTCAAACCCAGATGGAAATCTGAATAGAAAATATTAAAGGTTTTCTTTTAATATATTCAGACAGGGCTGAGCCGAAAAGTAGAAAAATATATAATAGAAATAATTTGATTCAGTAAATTTATAGAATCTCTGGGTTCCATGATCAATTATTACCATTATCCAAATATATTGTTGATTATTGGCCCAACAAATATAATTTTGGCATTTGAGCTTACGTTATGATAATAATCCTTTGTTATTTGTATAATACACGGAATATTATATAATATGAGAAGTGCATTTAACGTTTGTAAATACAGATTAACAACTTATACGCATATTTCAAATACTGCAACTTAGCGGATTATTGTTATATAATACCTACTGTATTGTAAAAGAGAGGCTATAATGTGCTAATTTAGCACATGGAAAGTGCAATTTATTATAAATGATGTAATTTATTAATTGCATAGGTTTTTAGTAGAATTTTGCTTTTAGCAAATTGATGATGATAATCTAGCTTAATACGGGGTTGTTTGTTGAAAGGACTTTTAATTAAATGCTATGCTTTTACAATATAAGGATAATGTAACTATTTCATATTTTTATGAGTACTTTAAGCTCCTTTTTTTGCATAAACGATTGTGCAAAATTGATCAAACTATCGTCAAAGTTTCAATGTAAAATAAATTAGATGTATATGATTTTTTTTCTGAATTGCTATTAAAACTTAAGATTTTATTTTTTTAAATAAAAAGCTTTCCATAAATTGTGTATGTAATTTATTTTTTATAAATATTTTCCACATTTTGGGATATGATGTACATTTTTTCATGTATATACTATTAAAATTAAAACTTTTTTTGCACATTTATACACTTTTAAAAATTCTTTTCTTACCTTTGAAATTATGAAACCATTTTTTTATAAAAAATGCACTAATACAAATATTTTCACACAAAAAAACTAAATAATTTACGAAAAATTTAAACATTCATGATCTTTCTGATATGGTATGTATGTTGTTTAATTTTTTTAAAATTATTTAGGTTTTTATGTAAAAATTTTATATTTATTTGAGAATTGCTAAATGATGACACACATACTGTGTCGAAACGTTCAGAATAAATACATAAGTTCAATACCATATACTTTTTATATATTTATACTTTTTATAAATTTGTAAATTCAACCATTTTTTTATATCTTTTAAATTTTGAAACTATTTTACAAAAAATTTCATGATTTAATTTTGCTTTAATTGTACAATATTTTAAATATTTTTACAAAAACAATACTAAATAATGTATGAAAAATTTAAACATATGGTTTGTATGTTTCACAAATTATTTATTAAAATTTATTATAAAAATGTTCAAATTATTGTGCATTTTTTAGAACTACTAAATGATGACACACATTTAGTACGGATTAAATAAAAAAT